GATGCGACCAATCGCGATTGATCGCTCTCAGCAGTTGCAGATATCTCTCTCCCACCGTGAGCTGTCTCTCTCGCACTTACAGATATCCCGTAAGAGAAACTGGGATCAAGTTATAGCTTTTATTATTAAACTTTCAAAGCTCGCGTTTGTTTCTATGGATTCCAGACGTATGCTGCTAGAACTTCTGAGTCTTAGAATTTAAAATATCTTTTGTCATATTTAAATAATCACTGATTTCGGAGTCGGATTTTAGCAGCGCTACGTGGTGGATTTTTTTCGGAACTACAGCTGAAGATTCACCTTAAAGTACATGTGTGTTGGAAATTATCTCTTATCCTCCGTTTTTCACATCAACGAAGCATGATCTACCCCAAAGGTTTTTACTTTGAATATAACTGCTCTTCATCAAATAGAGGTATTTCAGTCATGGTTTTTGTAACAAGTCGAATCTGATGATTGGCAGTTGAGTTAAAGCCTAAGTATAAAAGTATAAAAAGTATAAAAGTATAAAAGTATCCTATAACATTCATGATTATTAATCGAAAAATCTAAAGAAATAAACAGCCGTGGAATTTACCGCGGAGAAGTTTCGGAAACTGGCTTGAAGTACGGTCATAAAAACTTGTTTTCAAACACTGAAATCATGATAATGGAAATAAGGCAGAAAAACAAGGAGAGTACACACAAATAAAGAATACAATCGCTAAAAATTTAAAAACTCAAACTTTCCTTTCCTTTCCTATTTATTTGTGCGGGCGACGTTTCTGAACGACTGAAATCATTTTTGGACTCTCTTGTAAAATTTGCAACATAATGGGAGATTGTGTGCTCTTATGTGAGAGGCCTTAAGCAACTCAGCACAGTTTTCTCAAATCTCGCAACTATGTTCCCGGTGTAGAGTTGCGGAGTCTCAACCTTGCCGTCTTGTCGATAGAAATTTACCGGCACACCACGCCCAAACCCTCAGCGCGGTGCCTCGGCCCCCTCCCTCGCCGAGCCGCGCCGCGCCGCGCCGGCGCGATTAAGTTCACTCTCAGCTCTTTTGCGACTGAGAGATTGCGACACAACCCTCCGCCTCCGGTGAGTACTGATTTTGACTTCGGTTCAAGGTCCGAAACCAGTCCATTCTAAGTCCACGCAACTTCCAATATCCTGATCCGAGCTGTGGTCGCTGGCTCGCTGGACCGAGCCAATTCTTCCGCGTTGCGGATCAGGTTCCAATCATAATGCCTTTACACTCTCTATTTCACTTGCTCGCTTATTTATATCCTTTTCCTTGCTCCTGCAAACTCCTCGCGCTGCCTCAAGGCACCATTTAGCCGCCCTCTCCAGGTCCAAGAGGGGGTATGGATCGTAAAGCGAGCGGTCAGGGGCCGTAGCCCCCGGCATTATATAAAAATACTAAAAAAAAGGGGATCATTATTTCTATAACCAGTTTAACCGATCATACAAAGAGGAGATAAAGCCTAGGTTGTAGGAGGCTTCATCCGGAAGTTCTAGAATTATTCACGCTCGAAACGAAAATAGAATCTTTCTCGGTCACCATGTTGATGGCATTTTACTTTCTATATGCCGTATTTCACAAGAAAATCGCATTTATCGAAAACAATTTACATTGAGAAATATTTTGGTCCCGATAGCAATGAAAAAACAAGAAAGAAGATGCAGGAGAGAAGTAGTTAGGACGTTAAATCCATTGTAATGAGGATTATAAAATCACCGATTTTCTCCAGGGTCTCAGAATGAATAACACTCCAGATTTTTAGTGGCGTCATGAGGGGGGGGGGGATCCCCCCTCGCGTTTTAAAATGCCTACATGCCTACAAACTTTCATTTATAAGTCATCAATAATATAGGGATGGAAAAGCTTCCGTTAAGGCGTTGACACGTAAGCAGGAGAGAAACAAGCTACATTTTTTCAGAGCATTAGCGGGCTACATTTAGGTACTTACACTGAAAAAAAAAAATTGCTAAAATACGGTGACAAATCACCAAATTAGTAAAATCAACCCGGTGTTCTTAATCTATTTTGATGAGTTGTCACCTTTTTTCACGATTTCATGTGTTGATTTTAGCAGTTTTTTTTTTCAGTGTAGTATCATGTTATTNGGGGGGGGGGGGGGAGTTCATTTATCCGCCTCCCCCCTCCCTTCAAAGTTTTGGTGAAATGACGCCACTCCGGATTTTGCCCCAATATTTTCACCAGCACATAAAAATAGTGTCCACTTTGTTGCTGTCAAAGGATTTGAAAAATGAGAAATAGCACTTTTTAAAGGAAAGTAAACTCAGCATTTGCGAGGCCTGAATGATCGATTAACAATATTTCCCCCGTTTAAAGCTGTGGTAAAGAATCGATTTGTAAGGTGTGTTGTGAACACCCTGCCTATCGATCCTTCTCCATAGGTTTAAATGGCGGATCAATCGATAAATCGCAAAGCACGCCACGCCGCGCCACTGAAACTCCGTCGAATAACATGCTGGGCTACTCACGGTCTCAGAACGTTGATTTTCTACCCGTCGAATAAGTTTACTCATAGAGAAAAAAAAGGAGGTGTTTGCATTTCGGGCATCTTGGAATTTTTTGATGATTTGATGACGTAGGTCGGTACAGCGACGTTTATCCTGTCGATTTTCTTGGAAATGATGTAATTTAAGGAGAAAAGTCATTCTATAAGAAGTGCTTGAAATTATATAATGAGTGAGCGGACGTTGTTACAGTCCGTTGACTACACCAAAAAACCTTGCACTTTTTGATTGGAATCTGCCACTTTCAGAGTTCATTGGTGGTGCCTTCAGGAGTAATTCTGGAAAGGGCAACACAATGTGACCAGCGACTGGAGCAAGATGGCGGCTGTTAAAGTCCGCCATGCTTTCGGTTGCTTTAGGTCCGATTTTGATCAACTTCTTTTAAAATGAAAAGTAATTTTAAGGAGAAAAATTTTATTCCTCATCAATTTTCCTGGTGGCTTGAAAGGTTTTTTCTAAATTGGGAAAAACTAAAAGTTTTTAAATTTTTGGAAATTTTAAGGTCAAATAACTTTGACAGGCGAGAAACTGGATATTTTGCATTCTCTGACGGAGCCATAGAATTGTCTGGCCTCTAGTACAGTGGCATGGCGTGAATTGCGATATATCGATTGTTATACCATGTAAACCCATGGTAAAGAATCAATTATTAAGGTGTTCGCTGCGAACTCCCTGTTTATCGATCCTTTTCCATAGATTTAAATTACCGATCAGTCGATATATCGCAAAGCACGCCACGCCACTGCTTTAGTATGATACCAAAATAATTTTCGTGCGATAATAAATAAGCTCGTGAGAGCAATTTAAATTTTGCGCGCCGCGCGCTGCGGGACTCGTTTTGGCGCCCTAGCCGGCCGACGCGACCCTTCAATGAGCTGGTTTTTGGTTGCTGTGCCATCGATTTTGATCAATTTTTTTATAAGCAGATATACCTCTTCGTGAAGAATTAGCTCCTTAACCAATTTTGGCATCAACGTGATAATTTTTCAATAGAAACGAAAATTTTGTAGTTACTTAGTTAATGCCGAATAGGCGAATAATTATGAGTGTTTCGTTGTTGAAAGTAGACGTAGGAATGATAAAAAAACGTAAATCAATGCCTTGCCTCATTGAGCGGATCTGGAAAAGTACATCTAAGTCGTTTAATTTGAAACCATCATCATCCCTGCGTCACCAAAATTAGACCCGTGACAGCAATTTATTCATTTCATTCATAAAGTTCGTTGCATTCCTATCGAATATCACGGTGAAACAAAACATAAGACACAAATATCCGCGAGGCGAGATATGGCCGTCCTTATTTATGTTGAGGTGCTAAATTCAGAAATGACCTCGATTTTTTTCCATCACTCTCCAATTTGCCGGAAAAGCTAATTTTCCCAGAAAATGTGCACTTTCGGCATTTTTGGTACTCTTAGGTAGGTACCTCATGCAAAATGTTAACGTTAAATTTTTCGCCAGTACGAGAAACGTCCCTTCCGATGTACTTTGAGCCGTTTAATTCAAAAATGACCTCTACGCTTTTGCCCATTACCTCTCAGTTTCCCAGGAGAACCACTTTTACCCGGAAAAACGCGTGAGTTTGACGTATTTTTATCATGCTTGCATTTTTTTACGCATTTTTTCTGGACCCGTGGAAGCTTGATTTTTCTGTATTTTGAGTCGCTGAGTCCAAATATGGCCTTAGATAATTTAGAAAAAAACATTTCAGTCCACCAGGAAAATTAATATGGAATAAAAATTTTCTCCTGAAAATTAATTTTCATTTCAAAACAAGTTGATCAAAATCGGACCTAAAGCAACCGAAAGCATGGCGGACTTTAACAGCCGCCATCTTGCTCCAGTCGCGGGTCTCAGAATGTTGCCCTTCGAGAATTACTCCTGAAGGCACCACCAATGACCTCTGAAAGCGGCATATTCCAATCAAAAAGTGCAAGGTTTGTTGGTGTAGTCAACGGACCATAACAACGCCCGCTCTTTCACTCTTTGTCTGAAACTCCAGCAGGACACGCTGAACTGCAGACATCGTTCCAAAGAGTAAACTTATTCGACGGGTAGAAAATCAAAAGGAGTACAGGGTTTTTGCCATTTTTGGGTCGTAGTCAAGATCTGACGAGTTAGTGCAAGATTTTCGCTACTCATCATTCTCGGTTACATTTGTAAACAATGACTGCTAGCAATGCTACCATTCGTGTCTTGCTTGGAAAAGTAATGGAAAAACGTTATTTATGGAAGACCCCGTTCTGAGAAATTCGAGTTTCCACCTATAATGGGTCCTCTTGCTTAACTGCGACGTGATGTTAAATAAAAACTAATATCTTGTATTTCCACTATTTGTTTAGGTAAGTACTCATTAAAACCATTATTATGTGCTTGAGGCAGGGACGTTATCCATGATTAAAAATTTGACACTGTAGGTATTAAATAATACTTATCTATGCTGATGAATTTGTTTGTTCATTCTGTTGATTCAGCACGAGGACGGTTCAAGAGACGAAAGGATGGGACGTCTTTCGAGACCTGCCACCTCGACACGACAGTGGATCTATGGCGAGTCAAAAATGCCTAGAGTTCACGGTTAAAATCCTCAAAGTCATTACCTACTTAGCTACTTTCGTAATTGTTCTTGTATGTGGAGTTCTCGCCAAAAGCACCGTCTTTCTCATGACATCACAGCTACGCGCCAACAGGGTCGTCCTCTACTGCAACAAAGATCTCGGTAAGTTAAGTAGGTATCTGAATTAAGTATAGTCCGTGGTGACAGGTGAGTTCAAGAAGAGGGAGAGGGCACGACCCTCTTTCGGGCAAAAAAAGAAATTGACAGAAAGAGGAAAAAACAATCAGGTAACTCCAACACGTGGTGTTGGAAGAGCACGCCTGAAGAATATATCTCTAATATGCTGCACGACACTTCACTTGCAACACGCAGAGACCGCAATAGCTCATATCCGAGTTGCCTCGGCCTCAGGTATCAAGAGGCAACTGTACCGGGAATTCCCTCGGTATTGAAATCTGGACGGGGATCGGAACGCGTACCGCGCTGTCAACCCCTTCGGAGGCGCGAGGGGATGTGGAACGCATGCGGTTAAAATCAGGACCTCGGATCGGTCTCTTCTCCGATGAAAGTGAAATCTTGAGTTAACTATCAACGGCCGGATAGTTCGCTCAGAATCAGCGATTTCGAGTTGATTCAACGGACGGCGACAATTCGCTCAACCTCCTCGATTTCAAAGTCTTGTCCAGGCTTTGAATGGTGGCTCTAATTCGGCCGCGTCTTCTTGTGTTTCATTT